CCCGCAGGTACATGTGCTCGCTCTCTCTCTTCCACTACTCGGAGTACCTGGTGACATCCATCAACAACCCACGCAGCCTCTCGCTGGACTCTTTCCTGCTCAACCACAGCTTCGAGTACAACCTGGCCGCGCTCTCCTCCTGGGTGGAGTTCACGCTGGAGAAGCTCCTCTTCCCAGGTTGGCCGCACTGCCCCTCCCTGCCGCCCGCTCCCCTAGCTCTGCCCGGTACCTCTGGCTGCACCGGGCTCGCCCCCGGTGGTAGCCAACGGCTGGTGACCCCTGCTTGGCTGACCCGTGCTGGCAGCGCAGGAGGGCTTTGACACGGCCTTAATTTCTCTGTGCTCAAAGCCTCTCGGTTTTGGTCTTGGGGGGCAGGGGGAAGCACCCCCCTCACTCTGACAGGCTGGCTTTGCTGTGGAGCAGGTCACTACCACGTTGGTGGTACAAAGAATGACGCTTTGGTTACATCTGGGCGTCTTTTCTTGACCTGGAATAAAGTCAAATTGGCAAAAGTGTGGCTGTTTGCCCAATCTGGGGTGCTTCCTTTTTTTTGGGAGAGGGGAGATGTTTTCCTTCTCCACTTCTTGTGGGCTGCGGAGCTCCCCACGTCTGGCCTGAGAGTGTTCAGTGGCTTTACTCCACCCAGTAAAGCCGGGCTCGGGTGATCCGCTGCCAGGACGTGCAGACTCCACGTCGGGGGTGACTCCATGGCAGGGGACACTATTTTAATTTGTTCTGGGGGCAGGACAGCAGCGCGTAGAACACTGGCGGTGCTTTACACATTGTCGTGCTTTGCGATGGGGGGAAAAGCCACCCTCCGCCCCAGCACCCCCGACCCCCCGCACCGCGAGCGTGACCTGTGCGAACCTGTTGTGACCCGTCCTTGTTCACTTGCAGAGCTGAAGCAGATCACCTGGCTGAGTACTGTAGGGTTGTTGATGGTGATCTTTGGGGATTGTCTGAGGAAAGCGGCCATGCTCACAGCTGGCTCCAACTTCAACCATATTGTTCAGAATGAGAAATCGGATACTCATACTTTGGTGACAAGTGGGGTGTATGGGTGGTTCCGGCACCCGTCTTACGTGGGATGGTTTTACTGGAGTATTGGAACACAGGTACCGTATGCAATGCGCTCAGATACTTTCGTCTTATAACCCGGGTCTTTCTTCTTAATGCTGCCCCACACCTGTAGCGGGACAAACTGCTGGTGCTCAGCGGCAGGGGTGGCCTGGGCGTGGATTTTGACATCTCCTGCCTCCACAAAAGGCACTGGGATCTTTTATTTTCTTTGGAGAATGTTTAGACCTTGTGGCAAACTTAATGAAGGGCAATTAGCATGTGGGGGGGCAGGGGCAGCCTGGGTTTCTCCGGGAGACGGCCGGTGTCCGTCCGCAGGTGTTGCTCTGCAATCCCATCTGCATGGTGGGCTACGCGCTGGCGTCCTGGCGCTTCTTCAGGGAGCGGATCGAGGAGGAGGAGATCACACTCATCCACTTCTTTGGAGAAGAATACCTGGAGTACAAGAGGAAGGTGCCATCAGGTCTCCCTTTCATTAAAGGGGTCAAACTGGAACTGTAACACAGGTGAAAACCGGACTGGCTGAGCAAACACCCAGCTCCAGGGGCCGTGGGCGAGGGACGGTGCGTGAC